GTGTGTGGCTTAATTTATTTTCAATAGTTCAAGGATCTAAGCATTTAACAGAACCTTGGACTCTCAGTGGGTAGCTTTGTTTTCTAAATGAAAAAACAGCATCTTAAATTCTCTGAGCTTGCTGATTTATGTGGCTTTTGTTTACTTCTTCGATGTTATCCAAATATCAACCCAGACCCAGATCTTCTAAATTTTCCTTTTTGTGATTTATCTTAAATGCCAAATATTTATTTTCTAAAAGCTCCCTGGAACATGGTGTTTTCTTACTGGGAGCAAGATCTGATTCTTGAATCACAGTAACAGCCACCTGGCATGTTCTGATGGTAGTTTAGAGCTATTAAAAGAGAACTGATTTCTGATTTAGTAGCTTGGGAAATACCTAGTGTGTGGCTTTGGGAAGCAATGAACCTCTCAGCCTCTATCACTTCTCTATGAATAACGGAAGTTAGAGTAAAAGGTCTCTAAATATTTTCAGCACCACTCTAAGGGGCTTAGTTGAGTGTGACCTGGACTTTGCTCATTGGGCCTATCAGTGAAAAATCAGCTGGGTGGGGACTATTAGCTAAAGCACCTTACCCGTCCAGGGACCAGGACTCCCAGAGAGCAATCCAATGCTCCAACCTATTTTAGTTTTCCCAACCAGATCATCACCTTGAGAATGAGCTATTCCAACGGAGTCACTCCTTTCATACTTGCACTTGAGTATTTTGAGATCCATCTGATCTAATTCCCTGTTCTAAGGTGGAACAAAACCACACCAGATGTTCTGATCTAAAGGTAGGTGATATGGCTGGAAAGAAGGTACGAAGTCAGCTGTAGGATGTTGGGGGAGGACAGTTCCTTTTTTTAAGCCACGAGTTTTCATTTGTATATGAGGTGGTTTGGTTAGAAGTAATTTTGGGGAATGTGAGCAGAGGATGAGGCTAAGAATCACATTTATTCATTTTCTAAATTTAAATTCAATTAGCCAACATATATTACATCATTAGTTTTTGATGCAGCGTTCAGTGATTCATTAGTTGCGTATGACACCCAGTGCTCATCACATCATATGTCTTCCTTAATCCCACTAGCCCAGTTACCCCATCCCCTCACCTACCTTCCTTCCCACAACCCTCAGTTTGTTTCCTGGAGCCAAGAGTCTCTCATAGTTTTTCTCCCTTTCTGATTTCTTCCCATTGAGTTTTCCCTCCCTTCCTATGTGAGCCTCTGCTCTATTTTTTATATTCCACATATAAATGAAACCATATAATTGTCTTTCTCTGATTGACTTATTTCATATGGTATAATACTCCCCAGTTCCATCCATGCTGACGTGAGTGGTAGGTATTCATCCTTTCTGATGGTTGAGTAATATTCCATTGTGTATATGAACTACATCTTCTTTATCCATTCATCTGTTGAAGGGCATCTCTGTTCCTTCCACCATTTGGCTATTGTGGACATTGCTGCTATGAACTTTGGGGTACAGGTGCCCCTTCTTTTCACTACATCTGTATCTTTGGGGTATTCATTAATTTTTATTATTAAATATATGTAACATAAAATTTGATGATTTTAAAGTCCTTTACAGTTTTGTGATTCTGTGAGGTACCATTTTGGAATGATGAAGTGGGAAGTGGCAGTGTGTGACTGGGAAGGAGGTTTCATTAAATCATCTGAGATCAGTCACATTGGGTACCTCAAGCTCTCTCTTACATTTATTTGTGAGTGTTGTCTACATTCTGTCATTATGCTCTAGTCTGGGGTCCAGTAGGTTGTCTGATGTGGAGTCTGGATGCTCACCTGCTGATTTAGGCTTTCACATGCTCATCACTTTTTCTTTCCATGCCCCTCAGTGAGGCAGCATTATGGGGAGAGAGAAAGTACTTCTCACCAGCTCTGTGGGAGAGGTGGTGGGAATGGCTGGTGGCACATAGCAGAAAGAGGAATAAATGCAGAAAAGACAGAGATGATAGGAAAATGTAGTTTAAAAAAAAAAAAAAGACTATCAGATATTCTATCCCCTCAGGATAAAGCCTAGAAAAACTTGACCTGATATTATTTATTTCTGGCTTTTGAGTGATCTCTCAGATTGGTCCTGTTTTATTTTCCTTAATTTCAGCAGTGGATAATAAAGTAAATAGTTAAGTTCATGCTCAGATAAAAGGTATATGTTTGTGTAGGCGAATATTCCTCAGACCTCTAATGAAATGTTTAACTCTTAGGTGTTACATACTTAGAAATTATACATGGCAGTGATTATAGAGCTTGGGATCTATGGTTATGCTGCTTGGATTGGAATCTTGGCTCCACTCCTATGTAACCTCTGGCCAGGTGATTCACATATCTTTGATTCTGTTTCCTCTTATGTATAAAAAGAGATGATAATAATAATACCCACATCACAGGTTTGTTGTGACAGTTAAATCTATTAATGTATATAGAGCACTTGTAAATACATGGCACAAGGACTTTTGCAATGCTAGCTATCATTATTCATGAAAATTGAGTTAATAATAACAATTAAAAATATTAAACAGATAATTTTTGATTATGATGGTATATGATGGGACACAGTCCCAGAAGCTACAATTATAAGACCATCTGTTAATTTCTATAAAATTATGTAGTGTGATAATGTACCATAGGAACACAAAGGAGAGAATATATTATTCCTCTTGTATTGTAGTGAGGTTCTTTGTGTAATTAGAAAGGAGGAAAACTAAACTCAGAGAAGGGAGAAAGGACACTTTGAAGTGGGAAGTAACTGGATAACCATCATTTGAGAATATACACGGGTGCAAAAATAGGCAATGGCCAGTTCAAGCTGGACCTGGAATCCATAAAAAGAATATTATAACTTAGGCTGTAGGCAATAGGGAGATATTGATAGACCTTAGATATTGATAGATTTTAGAGATGTAACAGGACCAGGTTTACATTGAAGGATAATCACCAGAGTATTTTCCAATGCTCAGGGAATGGGGTGGAGTACTAAAGACCAGCTTCAATGGACACACAAGACTGGAAATGGGTTGGAAGGTGGGTGGTGTTGGAAGGACAAGGAGAGGATGTTTCTGGCTAAGTGAGGCTTTGTGGTGGGAATGAGCAGCATAGGCTTTGGGATGGGGAGAGGACATGAACAGAGGGGAGTTGAAGCTTAGTGGGTGAGAGGGTGATTGCTGAGGTGGCTCAGTCTGTGAAAGTCTTTAAAAGTGAGTCCGAGGAGTTCAGGTTCCCCCCTGGCTATTTCTATGTAGGGGAGGATCTGAGGAAAAAAAGGTTTAGGACACAATTTTCTGGCTACAGTGTGTGGGGTGGATGGGCAGGTGCATCTGGAGATGAAGAGGCATTGGTAATTTGGGCATCTGTGGATAGCATGTGAGAAGGGGTGGTAGGAAGAGTGGAGAGAAAAGACACACGGGGCTGGGGAATAGTATAATGGGAAATTCGTGGGGTGTGGTGATGACTGGTGTGTACATGAATGGGAGGCACGGATCGAAGGTAATATCAGACCTACAGTCTGGGCAGCTTGGAGAGTTTTAAGAGCATTTGATTGTTAGTGAGTCTTAAAATCTTTTAATATGTATACTGATTTTTTTTTACTAATTCTTTTGTGAATCACCTGTTTATATATTTTGCCCATTTTCTGTTGGGATACAGGTATATTTCTTAAAGAAGATCTTTTTTAGGTTGGGTCATTAAGCCTTTCTCTAGTATTTTTCTGACTCTAGAATGCTAATTTCTTTATTGTTTTTAAAGTTCAGTGACTTTATTTAGTTTTAAACTTCAGCATGTGTGCTTGTCTGAGGAACTCTGACATACACACTACCTTATTTTGATCTGTATCACTGAATTTGTTTCTCTGTTGATTCCGGTCCTTGCTGTTCAGCTGTGTTTTTAATTCTTCTTAAGTATATTTCTTGCAAATTTCAGTATGAAATCAGAGTTAAGGGGAAGAACAATGAAGATAACATTTAGAGCTGAGGATCAACGTGCTCATGCTTTTCATCCCTGTTTCTCATGGGTTATATGTGGTGGAAAAATTCCCAACATGGCACCTTAATCTAGAGCAACCGTTTTCAATCACATGATATTTTTAGCTTGAAGTGTGTATCTGATCTGTATTTATTCTGTATAGTCTTGTGTGTTTATACATATATGAGAGATGCTCAGTAATTGTCTGTTCCAGGGGAGTAACTCATGGAGACATCTTAAGCCTTGTATACTTTTAGGCTCACTACAACATGGAACCAGAGCAGGGAGGCTGGCCAGTTATAACAATGCTCTTGGAAGACAAACTCTCAGAGTTCAGGATCTCTCAGTAGTTTGCTTAGTTTCCCAAGAGATGGGAAAAATAATAGTGAAATGGAGATAGATGAAGTCTCTCCAGAGGATTTGAACACTTGTTATACAAACAAAGTTGCAGAAGTTGCAGCCTGCAAAAGAATCTGATTTGAGTAAGTTGAAGACTGATGTAATTGAGTTGAGAAGACCGTACTCAGGACCTTTTGGAAAGGGAAGAATTATTAGTAGGAAGATGTTTCCTGGGGCAGAGATGAGGAAACAAGGGATTTAGGAGTAGAAGTGTCTCATGAGATTTTCCCAATAGAAGAGAGCTATCAAAATACAATGAAGATAATAAATGCTATGAAGATAATAAAGGCTATGAACTTGAACAGCTCCCAAATTCAGAATGTCTTATAGTGAACTGGAAATGAGTTTCTGGCTGAATTCAGAAAGCCTGGTTCTGAGACCCAGAATTCACCACTTTCTGTGTGACCCTGGGTGCATAGCCAATCTCCCTGAGCCTTACTTTTCTAATACGCAAATTCATTAGATTGCTAATATTTAATGCTGAATGAGTACATATGGGCCAAATGAATGAGTTGGTGATTAGTATATTGTAAAGTGAATTACAGAGTCTAACATGTTATAAGTGAGGTGAATCGGTTGCAATCGGTGTTTGTTTTATTGCAGGTCTCTCATGACCTTGTGTCCAGAACACCTAACTGGATTCCATGGTGAATACAAATAACGTGACTGAGTTAATTATCATTGGTCTTTTCCAGGATCCAGAGGTACAGAGAGTGTGCTTTGTAGTGTTTCTTCTTGTGTACTTGGCCACAATGGTGGGCAATGGTCTCATTGTCCTGACAGTCAATGTTAGTAAGAGTCTGCATTCCCCCATGTACTTCTTCCTTAGCTACCTGTCTCTGGTGGAGATCACTTACTCCTCTACTGTTGTCCCTAAATTCATCACAGACTTACTTGCCAAGATTAAAACCATTTCCCTGAAGGGCTGTGTGGCTCAGATATTCTTCCACTTCTTTGGGGTCACTGAGATCTTCCTGCTTACGGTAATGGCCTATGACCACTATGTGGCCATCTGTAAACCCCTTCACTACAGAAACATCATGAGCCGGTCTGTGTGTCACCTTCTGGTGGCTGGCTCCTGGTTTGGGGGCATAATTCACTCTATGGTCCAGATCCTTGTTGCTGTTCAGCTGCCCTTCTGTGGCCCCAATGTGACTGACCACTACTTCTGTGACCTCCATCCCTTATTCAAGCTTGCCTGTACTGACACTTCTGTAGAGGGAGTTATTGTGTTGGCCAACAGTGGCTTAATCTCTGTTTTCTCCTTCCTCATCTTGGTATCCTCCTATATTGTCATCCTGTTCAACTTGAGGAATCATTCTACAGAGGGGAGGCGCAAAGCCCTCTCCACCCGTGCTTCTCACATCACAGTGGTCCTCTTGTTCTTCGGACCTGCCATCTTCCTCTACATGCGACCATCTTCCACCTTCACTGAGGACAAACTGGTGGCTGTGTTCTATACGGTTATCACCCCCATGCTGAACCCCATCATCTACACACTCAGAAATGCAGAGGTGAAAAATGCAATGAGGAAGCTTTGGGGGAAGAAAGAGAACTCAGGAGTGGAATAAAAATGAAAACATGCACAAGGTTATTAAGAACAGGACCAAATATACATTCTATTTTTGGTCAGTTGTAAAGAATAGAACAAAAGTTAACTTATTCATATTTTTTGTAATAGTTAGATGACCCCTTACCCTCCATGTTTTCAATCATAACGCTTTCATTGTTGTATTTTGGAGACTTTAAAATTGAGCTGCATTTTTTTTCTTCTTTTGTTCTCTGTAGTTCATAGTGCACAGACTTCAGGAGGGGTCATCTAGACTGGAATTCCAACCCTATCATCTTCTACTGGTACAACCTTGGGTTCATGCCTTTTACCTCTTGGTGTTAGCATGCTGTGGTATGTGGAACGTCTTTGGTACTTGGAGACAGCAGTTTATATTTTGCTTCATCTTTTCCGACCGGTGTGATGTTGTGGGAGTCTCAGGAAAGCAAATCTACTTCATTTGGGGTCCCTACCCCATTAATCTAATTCTAATGCCTGAAATTCCATAGTAGGAGCTTTATTTCATGACAGTAGGGCATTGTTAGAATGGCCATGTCTCTTGGAGGTGAATACAAATACTTACATTTGTCATATCTTCTTGATGAATTGATTTCTTTATCATTATAAAATTATCTTTTTTGTCCTTTGTTACTATTTTTGGTTTAAAATCTATTGTGTCTGGTATGAGGATCAGACACAGTAGATTTGTCTGATAGCTACCTCTGCTTTTGTTTTCCAAGGCATGGGATTTCTTTTCTTTTCTTTTTTAATATTTTATTTATTTATTTGACAGAGAGAGATCACAAGTAGGCAGAGAGGCAGGCGGGGGTTGGGTGGGGGGAAGCAGGCTCCCTGCTGAGCAGACAGCCTGATGTGGGGCTCTATCCCAGGACCTTGGGATCATGACCTGAGCTGAAGGCAGAGGCTCAACCCACTGAGTCACCCAGGAGCCCCAGAATTTCTTTTCTATTGGTTTATTTTGAGCCTGACTTGCCCCTAAATCTGAAGTGTATCTCTTATTGGCACATAGTTGGGTCTTTTTTTTTTTTTTCTTATTCAAATCAGTCACTATGTGCTTTTTGATTGGATTGAATCCCTTAATATTTAGAGTGAATTAATGATATGTAAAACTAATGTCTATCTATTGCTTTCTGGCTGTTTTTTATTTCCATTTTTTCTTTTACCTTCTGTTTCTGTCTGCCTTTGTAAAATGGTGATTTTCTCTGGTGGTGTGCTTTTGAGAATCTACTCTGGGTTTTTGCTTTGCTTTTACCATGAAGCTTACATAACATACCTTATAGGTAAAATGATCCATTTTAAGTTAATAGCAAATTAACTTTGATTGCACACAAGATATCCATCCTTTACTTCACTTATGTATTTTTGATGTCACCGTTTACCTCTTTTTACATTGTATATTTATTAACAAATTACTGTACATATTGTTACCTTAATACTTTTTCCTTCAACTGTTATAATATAGTTAAGTGGTTGTCACATCAACCTATTACAGAACTTGAGTTTTCTAAATCTGATTGTATATTTACATTTACCACTGTGTTGTGTAATTTGGTGAGTTTTTGTGTCACTAATTTGCATCTGTTCCTTCAGCTTGATGACTCCTTCAAGCATTTCTTGCAAGGCAGGTCTAGTAACAATGAACTCCCACACCTTTTGTTTGTGGAAGTATTCCTCTCTTTATTTGTGAAGGCCAACTTTGTACATTAGAATATACTTTGCCTTTTTTTCCTCTTTGTCTTTTAAAACTTTGAATGTGTCCTGTCATACTCTCTTGGTCTGCAAGGTTGCTGATAGCCTAATGGGCATTATTTTGTAGGTTACAATTGCCACCCCCCCCTTTTATGATTCTCTCTTTATCTTTGTTTTTTGTTTTTTTTTGTGTGTGTGTTTTTTTTTTTTTTTTTTTAAAGGTTTTTTTTTTTTTTTTGTCAGAGGGAGAGAGACAGCACAAAACAGGTGGAGTGGCAGGCAGGGGGAAGAGGGAAAAGCAGATTCCCCACTGAGCAGGGAGCCTGATGCAGAGTTCCATCCCAGGACCCTGGGATCATGACCTGAGTCAAAGGCAGACGTTTAACCAACTGAGCCACCCAGGCATTCCATCTCTCTTTATCTTTGGTTTGACGTTTTAATGTAATGTGTCTTGGAGATAATCTTTTTACATTGAGTTAACTTCTTGTACTTGGGGGTCTAAGTGTGCTGAGGTTTGTGAAGTTAGTTTTCTATCTACAAACTATGCAGAAAATAAAGTTAAGAATCAAGGCAAAAGGTAGATTCATTCTCTTAATCTCTATGAAGCATGCTTTGGAATTATTTTCAAAAAGAAGAGCTTACTTTTTTGGTGCTAGATACCTGCTCCCCTTATCCTTTAGCCTCTGTGCTGTTTACAAGACACCCGCAGTGATACCTTGGTTTTGAAATAGATTTAGTCACAGATGGAGGATTCAGGGATCAAATAAAAAAACCTCATAGACATCTGAGTTCCCCGCTCTGAAGAAGGTCTGACACAGGGCATAAGAGACACTTCAAAAACCTTCAAAGCTTATAGCCTTTATCATGTTGGAGACATGTGATGGGGGCATGTGAAATTGCTAGAGAATAATATAACCCTTCGTGACAAAGTGCTGGAGTCAAGATCTCCAGGCACCAAGGCATGTCTGGCATGCACAGGCTTCTTTTCCTGGCAGCTCAGTTTGGCTGACTCTGGAAACATCCTCTCCCCACCGGGATCTCTGAGCTCTGCTCATGCTGTCTGTACAGAAATTACACCTCGGGAAGGTGGAGAACTGAGCTGGAACACATTGCTGCTCATTTTCTTGCTTGTATATAATTTTAGATACTGCTCTAGCTTTGCTTTGCTTTTGTTACAAGTAGTAATCTCTCTCTTTGACCACTGCTACTGTTCTGGAAGCTGGCTGTGGATGGGCAGCAGGAGAGGAGCCAGTGGGTAAGAGGAGAGTGAAGTGGGTCTAGTCCACCCTCCACCCTCCATTCCCCTTCTGTGGGAGGAGGAATTCATGAGCTTCCTTCCAAATCTAGCAGCTTGTGATGACCCAGTGAGGAAACTAGCAGGAGAGACCCTGCTTGACTCCTCTGGTGTGGGATGTCATTGGAGGACAACATGCAAGCAAAGGATGCTGGACAAGGCTGGTCAGAGCAGTTTTATTTTTCAGAATCCACAGAACGAGGAGTTCTGTGACAGGAAATGTATAATGAGAAAACATAAGATAGGGCAGATTTATTGTGAAGATTTGAAAAATGCTCACAGAAGTCATGTATCGAGGCCACTCTGTTTTAGGCTTCTAAGTGCATCCCAGTTTAGGTTTTCTTAACCACAAAACCTGGAAGCATGCAGTTACTTGTTGGTTGAGAAGAACACGTGCTTATCTTTCAGGGTCTCTTCCTTGGCTGCCAGTTAAAGTCAGAATTAAAGTCACTGCACAGGTGACATGTCTTTGCACTGTCGGTGGTTTACCACTCTGATGATTTCGTTATGAACTATCTCTCAAATGTTTTCCATTTTGATACAGAGTTTCATTTTTTTTGAAGATTTATTTATTTTAGAGAGAGAGTGGGAGTGGAGGGTAGTGTAGAAGGAGAAGGAGAAACTCCATGTAGACTCCCTGCAAAGCATGGAGCCCGACTTGGGGCTCAATCCCAGGACTCTGAGATATGACCTGAACTGAAATAAAGAGTTGGTCACTTAACGGACTGAGCCACCCAGGTGCCCCTGGAGTTTCATTTTTTTAAGTTTTTATTTAAATTCCAGTTAACATACAGTGTAATATTAGTTTCAGGTGTACAATGTAGTGATTCAGCACTTCCATATGACACCTGGTGCTCATCAAGAGTGTGCTCCTTAATCCCCATCACCATCCCCCCCCCACCTGCCCTCTGGTAACCATCAGCTTGTTCTCTAGAGTTAGGAGTCTGTTTCTTGGTTTGCCTCTCTCTCTCTTTTTTTCCCTTCCCCTATGTTTATCTGTTTCATTTCTTAAATTCCATATATGAGTGAAATCATATGGTATTTGTCTTTCTCTGACTTAATTTTGCTTAGCATAATGCGCTCTAGCTCCATCCACGTCATTTAATATATATATGAATATATGTAATGATATATATGATATTATATATATGAAATATATATGTATTATCTATATACATGTATGTATTCTTTATCCATTATTCTATTGATGGACATTTGGGCTCTTTCCATAATTCAGCTATTGTAGATAATCCTGTTATAAACATCGGGGTACATGTGTCCCTTTGAATGAGTATTTTTGTATTCTTTGAGTAAATACTCAGTAGTGCAATGGCTGGATTGTAGGATAGTTCTATTTTTAACTTTTTGAAGAGCATCCATGTTGTTTTCCTGAGTGGCTGCACCAATGAAGTTAATAGTTTTAAATGGCCCATTATCAGTAGTTCTTTCTGCACCTGTTTAAGACATGACTTTCTTAAGTCAAGGTCAAGAAGATATTAATTGATATTTTATTCCAAACATGTAAAGTTGTGCATTTGCCACTGAAGTTCTTATTCCGCTTAAAATTAATTGTTGGGTATTAAGAGGAGAGGTTTTGGTTTTATTTATTTTTTCTTATATGGAAAACCAAGTGTTCTGTCATCACTTATTGAATGAATAGACCTTTTCTCTATCTACAGTACCACTTCTGACATATATCAGATTTCTGTATTTGAATGAGTCTGTTTCTGGGCCAACCCTATACTCTTTTAATTACTGTAGTTTATGTCTTATTATCTGGTAGTGCAATTTCCTCTAATTTTTTTTTTTAAGGACTAGCTTATCTGTTTTGAGTCCTTTAATCTTCTAGACAATTTTAAATCTAAATTGTCAAGTTCCACAAAATAACTTACTGAGATTTTGTTTGGAATTGTATCTATCTATAGATCACATTGGGAAGAACTTACATTATATTCACAAGTATGGGATAACTCTGATTTGATTACATGTGACTGTAAACAAAGTCCACTGAAAAATCA